AGATGGTTGAGAATGTCCAATATTTATATTTTTAGACGATGATGTTACATTGAATTCTCTTAATTCAATTTCTTCGGTATTCTGAGAATTTTCATTGGATTCATAATAATATTTATAGTAGATATATTGGCCACCAATATAAAAATCCAATGACATTTGAAATAGAGCGAATACTACAAAAATGTATGAGATGTTTTTAGCACCAAATACCAAGTAAGTTATCTTCAATGTGTCACCACAAAGCCAACTTACTAATAGAATTAATTTGAAACCTTGAACAGACTTCAATTTATTTAAGATCGAAATTTGAGGTAGTGGTAACAGGGATTCTACTAGAAGACCGGTTGATCCGATTAAGGAACCTATCCATTGAGCTAACTCTTCCCAATCTAAAATTTTTGCAATGAAAATAGTGAAAAAAATCTGGAAAGTTGAGAAATAGATCAAGAACTTCCAGAAAAATCTATCATCATTCCATTGCCAGAACGATTTAAAACGTTTAAAACTTGGATCAAAAAATTTTAAACACTTGTAAAGAATAACTAGTACGAATTTAGCAGTAAAGCTTAGTATATTTTTAATAGTTAGACATCTCCATATTACTCTCCAATCCCAACCAAATTTTTCATCACCAAAACATTCGATCCAAATATCGTGAATCAAGCCGGTGAATGGCTCAACTGTAATTAAATTATCGTATTTATATTCCTCTGGTCTATATATCAACGTTGTCCTTAGTAAAATCAGTTGGATAAAAATCATAATTAGTGCCTGCCTTAACAAAGTGATTTCATATGGAGTAATTAGATAATAAGAGACTCTGAGGATACTTGCAATCAACATGGTAGCACAGATGTCTATCGAAAAACCCAACGATGTCTTGGATCTTTCGATACTAATGACAGTAGTACCATAAGATATCAAAGGAGTGAAACAAATCAAATTTTGTGTAACGAATTGAACAGTTAGCCATTCAGGGATATAGAATTGGTCAACCCGAGGCAAATAAGAAGCCAACGTATCTACAACAGGATATGAATTATCATTATTGACAATAGATGAAATCACCACATTTTCAGTAGACATTATATGAACATAAGCAACGTTCTTCGTAGATTCCTTCAGTAAAGGTAAACCAAACCTCGAAACAATAATAACAAACAAGTAGCTTGTAAAACGCACAAAACAAAACAAAAAGGATCCAAAAAAATAGACTATACCTATATATACCTTGAGCTGATCTTATTGCACCACAAACAAGATCACTAAAATCAATATAAACTACTAATTTCGACAAAAACACTTAATCCTACTTCCTGTTCGATTCGTTTACTTGCTTTAAATTCTTCTTGGCACCATCGTCATCCTATTCGATTTCGAAACTTCTGAAAAATTTATATATTGACCTTTTTGCAGTTAAGTATGCGGTGTATGGAGTGTTGATAATATTTCTATACAAGTTACTACCTAGATTAACGAATATTTATATATTTACCTGATACTAGTAAGGATCTGTTCGACAGATGGATGGGTGAGCAGGCCAAGGGTGCATGTGTGTCTGTAGTTGGAATGTGTCATTTCCATTGGATTTATTCCCACTGTCAACAGAACAAAAAATACAAAAAACCAGGTATGATGTCGAAGCCTATATTGAAATTTGAGCATGAGAATACAAACAAGGTGCAATCGGAACAGTCATCTTTCATTGGTGTTGGGATATGTATTCTTTACGAATTGGCAAGCTGTCGGCAGTTGGTCTACCAATTGCCTCCCATTTTGGTTGGTCTTTAAACAATCTCAGGGCCTCGATGTAATTGTCATTTGTCAAGGTGAATCTATGATAGATACCGGCTGGAACTATCAGCAAATCTCCCTTGTCGACTTTAACTCTTATCCAGTCTTTGTCATCGGTGGTTTTCAGATCAAAGTACCCTGAACCGTCAAGACAGTACCTGATTTCTTCGTCTTCATGTAAATGTTCAGTGTAGAACATATTTAATTTATCCATCATTGCACTTTCATCATTGTTAAAACTCTCTAAACAAATGTTAACAGTATCTCTGTTTTTATAGTTTCTCTCCTTGGCAAGTTCATTGACTTGGTCGATGGTTTCACAGTATTTATAGTATACCCCTAATCTTTCAGCATCTTTAAAACTTGCATTTCTCCCTGAATTGTGCGGTTCTCTGAAATCGATTTCATCTTTATCATCGTGATAATATAATTGGACCATTATTAATAATCGATTTGATCTGAGTTTATATTTTTATTTTATTTTAGTTTATCTTGCTTGTGAAGAGCTGTTCATCCTAAAGAGAACCAAATACTCATCCCATTAGTCATTTCCTTTATATACTCAATCAATAAGTTAAGATAAGATAACTTGGAATGAGATGAGATGCGCTGACAAAATGTGTCAAAAGTGACAATTAGGAAAGGAAATATCGATTATAGATTGATTTTTCAAATTTTGTTCTATAGAGGATAGTCACGTGCCATGATGAGAAATTCATAAAATCATTGTATTATTTCAAGGTTACATCGTACGAACCTTGATAATGTCGGGATGTAATTCGTTACAATAAATGGTGTCATATTATCAATATTGCTATTTAAAGAGATCATTGTACATTATTGTATATTATTGTATATTATTTAGTATCTTACTTTGTACATAAAAGATATATAGAACTTTATTATTATTAACTAGTATATTTACTTTAACTTACAGATCTCAACCCTTAAGATCCTATAGAATAAACGCTTACCAGCCTTCATTCTAACGTATACCAAATTCAATATACAACTAAATAATAATAAAGGCCAAATAATACAATTGCTATGTCACATGATTGTGAATGTGAATGGGGTGAAGCCAGGTCGGGCCAGTGCCAGTAAATGCAAGATGTCAGAGTGCTGGGTCGATGCATATATAAGAAATTGATAGTGAGTTCTTATTACTAGGCTTATATTATTGATATGATATGATATGATATGATACTGCACGGATATCAATTCAATTCAATTCTGTTCCATCAATATATATCGATTGTTGATAAAGTGTGCAAGGGCGTAGATGAACATGTCTTATAATAATCGATTTTTGGTTGCAAGAAACTGGTAGTATGTCTCAATTAATACTGAAACGTAGCCTGAAACGTTACAACATTCTATATTTAATCTTTTTCTAAGGCGGTAGGCACTTGTGTGGTTATTTGTAATCGAGGTTATGATTTTAATTAGAACGAATTGCCAGCAAATAGATGGATATATACCTTTTTATTCACAAAGACAAGCAAACAATACAAGCAAAGAACACATACAATGTAGTCACGTGCAAAACGAGGATAAGAATTCTGACTAAACAGAAAAATCGTAATATCCATCCAACAGCCGGTCCTCGCTTTCCTTTTTCGACCATCGTAAAGCGCATCAAACGACTGGAGATTACTAATAGGGACCGGAGATAAGCTGGAAATTACATTCGTAAGCAAAAAAAAACAACAACCAACGGATCTAAGACGAAATTACCAAAAAAAGCAATTATGCGGGAAAAGGAAGAATTGTTGCTGTTGCTGTCGTGCTCCTACGTTTCTTCACCTGTGAGGGGCAGAGAACGATTGTTGTATTTTTCGAATTTGTAAGCGGCTCTCTCGAAATGTTTGATTTGTAAGATCTAGTCATGTGATCATATCTAGATATCTGTACGTGTATATCTCTCTGTATTATCTGTGGGGAATGATGAATTAGGTATGAGACAGACAGGTTTGATAAAATAAGATATAACTAGATATTCCATCGTTTCGAAACGTATATAAAGGCTGGCAATTGATGTTGTAAAATAGTTTTCGATTATTAGATTTTGTTCTTCAATTCATATCTTTTTACTATTGTTCAATTCATAAGGTATCATCAATCGATCATAAGATTACCAATCGTATAATCGATAAATAGTTACAACAAACACCAAACAACAAACATCTTCTAATTGAATCATCATGCCATTCGTAAAGGACTTCAAACCTGTTGCCTTGGGTGACACCAATTTGTTCAAACCAATCAAAGTTGGTAATATGGAATTGAAACATCGTATTGTCATGCCTCCTTTGACTAGAATGAGAGCTTCTTATCCAGGCAATGTCCCAACTGATCTAATGGTAGAGTATTACGACCAACGTTCTAGAAGAGAAGGAACTTTTATCGTCGCTGAAGGTGTCTTCCCTTCTGCCCAATCTGGAGGTTACGATAACGCTCCTGGTGCTTGGTCAAAAGAACAACTTGATCAATGGAAGAAGATTTTCGACGTTGTTCATAAAAACAAATCTTTCATGTTCCCTCAAGTATGGGTATTGGGTAGATTGGGTTTCCCAGACTCTTTGGCTAGAGACGGTTTGAGATACGACTCTGCCAGTGATGATGTATACCTTGATGAAGAATATGAAACTAAGGCTAAGTCCAGTGGTAACAGACAACACGGTATCACTAAAAGTGAAATCCAACAATATATCAAAGATTATGTCCAAGGTTCTAAAAATTTGGTTGAAGCAGGCGCCGATGGTGTTGAAATCCATTCTGCTAACGGTTACTTATTAAACCAATTCTTAGATCCAGTGTCAAACAAGAGAACTGATGAATATGGTGGTTCCATTGAAAACAGAGCTAGATTCACTTTGGAAGTCGTCGATGCTTTGATCGAAGCTGTCGGCCCTGAAAGAGTAGGTATCAGATTATCTCCATACGGTAAATACGGTACTATGTCAGGTGACAGAGATCCAACTTTATTAGCCACTTATGCCTATGTCGCTGGTGAAATAGAGAAAAGAGCTAAAAATGGTAAAAGAATTGCTTATATTCATTTGATGGAACCTCGTGTAGCCAATGGTAGTTTTGATGAAAGTTTAGAAGAATTCACTGATAATACAAATGAATTCATCTACTCTATCTGGAAAGGCCCAGTTATCAGATCCGGTACTTTGGTCATGAGCCCATTGCACGCCAAGGCTATTGCCAACTCTAACAATAGAACTTTGTTAGCCCATGGTAGATATTTTATTGCAAACCCAGATTTAGTTACTCGTATTGAAAAAGGTCTACCAATAAACAAATATGATAGATCCACATTCTATGCTCCAAGTTCTGAAGGTTACACAGATTACCCAACATATGAAGAAGCTTTAAAATTAGGTTGGGATAAAGAATAGATACCGTATTCTCTTAGTTATCGAGGCTTTTGTTTTCCTAGATTCCAACAATGGATAAACCGTAATATATGTATATAGACACATATGTATAGACATAAAAGTGTGCTCACTTAAATATAATAGTGTTATTTGATTAATAATTCATTCATTCAACTGATCCAAGTAGTTAGTATAGAAAAATTGACTATAAATTTATATAATAGTTCGAATAATTTTACTCAAATCTACATAGTCAATACAGACTTGAAGATGAATACGCCACAAACTGATGATATATAATACAAATTACAATATTTAATACCAAGTGGGAATCCACATCTTCACAATTTTACACTTGTAAACAGCTTATAGTAACCATCTGTTGTTTCTGAACTTGTTCTAATACCAGGTTTAAAATATAATAAGACAAAAAGTATTTCAAGAATAAGGGATTCGAAACGTTAAACTTAAACAATTAACTGTTGAATATATAAAATAAGAGGCAAGACAGTAATGGGGTTTGTTGAAGGTTATATCCCAGTATCATACGATGGTACCAGTATGTTTAATCCTATTAAAGTTGGTAATATGCAATTGAGTCATCATGTTGTCATGGCACCATTGACTAGGATGAGAGTCACCAGGCAAGGTAATGTTCCTAAGGATATCATGATTGAATATTACGATCAAAGATCTAGAAGAGAAGGTTCATTGATTATTGGCGAAGCTGCTATTATATCTGCAGAAGCTGGTGGCTATGATAATATCCCTGGAGTTTGGTCTGGAGAACAACTTTCTCAATGGTGCAAGATAATTGGTGTGGTACATAGGAATAAAAGTTTTATTTGGCCACAACTATGGGCCTTGGGCAGAATATCATTTCCAGAGGTATTGGCAAGGGAAGGATATAGGTTTGTATCACCTTCAGAAGAGGTGTATATTGATGCAGAACAAAAGAATGAAGCGATTAGATGTGATAATCGATTACATGGACTTAGTAAACTGGAAATGCAACAGTATAAAACTGATTACATTAATTGTGCTAAGAAACTTATAAATATAGGTGCTGATGGAATTGAGTTACATTTGGCCTATGGATGTTTATTGAATCAATTTCTAGATCCAATTAGTAACAAACGTTTGGATGAGTATGGAGGTTCTATTGAGAACAGATGTAAATTCATATTAGAGATAATAGACGGTCTAATTATAGAAATAGGTTGCAGAAGAGTGGGAATCAGATTGTCCCCATTTGACGAAAGTGGTGGGATGTCAGGAGACAATGATCCCACTTTGTTATCAACGTATATGTATTTAATTGGGAGGTTAGAAGAGCAGGGTAAAATGGGAGAGAGAATAGCATATATACACCTGGTTGAGCCTTCAAGAAATAAAAAGTTAAAAGGCATTTCAAATGATTTCATATACTCTATTTGGAAAGGAATAGTAATACGATGCGGAAATTTAATTTATAATTCTAACGAAGCCAAAATGTATTTAGAAAAACATAAAAATACACTCATTGCATATGGGAAGTATTTTATATCCAATCCAGACTTGGTGACCCGTCTAGAGAAGAAACTACTGTTAAATAAATTTGATGAATCGACTTTTTACACTTCAAATTCGAAAGGATACACTGATTACCTAACATACGAAGAAGAAATGAAGAAAAAAAAATAGGAAAATGTGGAGAAAACCCTAGATCATCACAAGAATTGTAAAGAAATAATTATATTTACTGTCGTCTTATGGTAATGTGGATGAAGAAGATGCTGATGATGATTATTGTTGGTATTACCTACTCACTATAATTCAATATCATATATCACGACACCCATTAAAATGATTTGATAGAACAAAAAAAGCTTAAATAAAAAAAAAGTTGAAAACGTCATATTAATGAAAAAGTTGCATAAATCGAAATACATTAAATTTAAAGATATCGACAACAATATCAACACGGATTAGATCAGACTGGATTAAGTCACAGCAAAATTGACTATTTAAGAGTTGGGTCTTAGGCAAGATTAAAGGCATATATATATATATTACCGTCCAATATATATTTTGTGAATCTGTGATTTTATTGGGATCAAAGGTTGAGGGGAACTTAGCACTTTTGTGTATAATATAACATATAAAGTCATGAAGATTGCGAAAAGTGGTAATGCAGGTGGTTTTATTACTGTACTGATCAGTTTTTTTGGGTCATCGTTTGCAATTTTTCTACTGTTGAAATTTTTATTGAGTTCATCTATAATATCAATTGGGTCTATTGTTTCATTGATTCCAGTAAATTCTTTTAAACATTATGTTCCTGATTTTAAAAACACACCTGGTGTTGAATTTTATGACTTGAGTAATTACCAAGGTAACAAAGACGGTTGGCAACAAAATGATAGGATATTGTTTTGCATTCCATTGAGAGATGCGGCTCAACATTTGCCAATGTTCTTTGATCACATGAATAAGATGACTTATCCTCATAATTTGGTCGATTTATCATTTCTAGTAAGTGATTCTTCCGATGATACTATGGGTGTGCTATTATCACATTTACAAACTGTACAATCTCAACAAGATAAGTCTAAAAGATTTGGTAATATTGAAATTTATGAAAAAGATTTCGGTCAAATTATTGGTCAATCATTTAGTGATAGACATGGTTTTGCTGCACAGGGACCAAGAAGAAAACTGATGGCCAAGGCTCGTAATTGGCTAGGTTCTGTGGCTTTGAAGCCTTACCATTCTTGGGTCTATTGGAGAGATGTAGATATTGAGACCGCTCCAGTTACCATCATGGAGGATTTGATGCATCATGATAAAGATATCATTGTTCCAAATGTTTGGAGACCTTTGCCAGATTGGTTAGGTAACATCCAACCTTATGATTTAAATTCATGGCAAGAGTCAGAAGGTGGTTTACAATTAGCAAATCAATTAGATGAAAATGCTGTTATTGTTGAAGGTTACCCAGAATATGCTACATGGAGACCTCATCTGGCATACATGAGGGATCCAAATGGTGATCCAGAAGATGAAATGGAGTTAGATGGTATTGGGGGTGTCTCTATATTGTCAAAGGCTAAAGTTTTCCGTTCAGGTTCTCATTTCCCTGCTTTTTCATTCGAAAAGCATGCCGAAACTGAAGCATTTGGTAAATTATCAAGAAGAATGAATTACAATGTCGTGGGTTTACCTCATTATGTCGTGTGGCACATTTATGAACCTTCTACCGAAGATTTGAAACATATGGCTTGGATGGCCGAAGAAGAAAAGAGAAAAGCTGAAGAAGAAAAATTAAAAGAATTCTATGATAGAGTTTGGGATTCAGGGTTCGACGATGTCAGAGATGACTGGTCTTATGAAAGGGATTCAATTCTAAAGAATATTGATCATAAAATTGACAACAGTAAATATGAAAACATGGACTGGTCAGAAGATCCAGAAGATTCAAATAATATAAGGGTGCCGGCTGCCGAGAATGTTGATAATACCCAGCAAGAGGCTAGTAAAGAGGCAATTAAAGAAAACCATGTCCAAAAGAACGGTAACCAACAAGGTCAACAGCAAAAGCAACCGCTACAACAAGAGCAACAGCTACAACAAGAGCAACAACAACAGCAGCAGCAACAAAAAGTACAACAGCAGCAACAGCAACAACAACAACAGCAGCAGCAAAAGGCAGTTGCAGTTCCTGCTCAAGATGATGCTGCTGATGCAGCTAAGAAAGAAATAGCACAAGAGAAGAAGGGCCAAGATAAATCGAAGCAGCAACAACAGCTGGAACAAAAGCAAGAACAAAGGGAACAGCAAGGAAGAGCTCTTCAACAACAGAAAGAAGAGCTTAAACAAAAACAAGAAGCACAGAATGCACAAAATGCACAAAATGCACAAAATGCACAAGGGAAAAAAGCTGAATCCAATCCAAAGGAACAACCTAAACAGGAAGTAAAGAAAGAAGCCGAAGCTAAACAAAATGCCCAAAAGGAACAACAGAATCAAAATCAGAATCAAAAACAAGAACCAAAAGATGATAAGAAGAAGGAAGTTCAACTAGATTTCGATCCAAAGAATCAATAGTTTGTACAATAGAAAAAAAAAATTAAATTGATCACCACCCATCCCGTCTATACCAACTCACCTTAAAGAATTCTGTCTGATATACCCACGTCACCTGGCGAAGGTCTAATCGTTGCATGCAGAGATATATAAGTTTCATATACATATATATAATGCTCATTTTTTTTTTATTACCCTTAGAATAAGAAAAAAAGACGTTTTAATAAGATACAAAAGTTAATCTACAGGCAATTGGATAACTAATCAAACACCCGTCACTTGTATCAGTTCACCAAATGATATACATCTCTTGATACATCGATCAGTAAACCGCTAAACCACTTTTGAGACCATAAACCAAATCACGTGATAACCACACACGTGACCAACGCCGGGTGGCAAAAAAAAAAAAAATTGCCAAAAATAAAGAGACAACGTTAAAGCCCAAGATTCGAAATCGAAATTTGGTGAAGTTCTTAAATATAAAAGTATATGAAGATGAAGATGATGATGATGACCAGTTATCTTTAATTTTTTGATGAAAAGGGACTTGAGGATTGACAAGAAGTTTAGTTTCAGATCATTGGAGAGAGGTAGTTGCTGTGTGTGTGTTTGAGCTTTTTCTAAGGTTATTGTTGGTTTAATTATTTTATTTTTTATCTAGTTGCAAACTGAATATTTTTTTAAGGTTTGATTATTGGGGACAAGACCAGGATAATTTGATAATAATTTAATTGAGAAGTGGGCATAACTTAATAATTGGAGTACTAGATTTCACGGCTATTTTTGGATACTTTGCATTATATATATTTAATCTAATTTATTTTATTTTTTGAATAAAAGAAAAAATGGTTAGTATTACTTTTAAAGATTTTAAGAAAGAAAAGATTCCTTTGGATCTTGAGGGTTCTGTAACTGTGCTAGATGCTAAGAAGCAAATTGCAGTTAAGAAGGATTGTGAGGATTCCCAAATTAAATTGATTTACTCCGGTAAAGTTCTTCAAAATGACAGTACTATTGGTGATTGCGGTTTAAAAGATGGCGATCAAGTTATATTCATGATCTCAAAGAAGAAATCTACAGGAACTAAGGTAACTGAAGCAACTCCTGTGGCAGCTTCCACTGCTGCTGATGCTTCTGCTACCAGCGTTGCCGCTGTTGCTGAACCTGAACAACAGACAGTTGCTTCAGAGCAAGCCACCGAGTCCAATGGTAACGAAGAAGCGCCACAACAGGAAGAAGCACCACAACAAGGAGGACAACAAGAACAAGTGCAAGTGCAATCAGATGAAGGTTTTGTTGTTGGATCTCAACGTAATGAAGCAGTAGAGAGAATAATGGAAATGGGTTACGAAAGGGATGAAGTTAACAGAGCAATGAGAGCAGCTTTCAATAATCCAGACAGAGCTGTTGAATATTTGTTAATGGGTATCCCAGAGCATTTACAACAACAAGAACAACAACAGGAGCAGCAACAAGAACAACATGTAGAAAGTACAGAAGTAGCGACCACTGAAGAAACTAATGATAATGAAGATGTGGATAATGGAGAAGTTGATTTATTTACACAAGCTGCACAAGGTAACGGCGACTCCAGTGCTGCTCCAAGAGGAGCAGCTGGAGCAGCTGGCGGACCTCCAGGCTCTATTGGTTTGACAATGGAAGATTTATTAGCATTAAGACAAGTTGTTGCAGGTAATCCAGAAGCTTTAGCTCCATTATTGGAAAACCTAAGTATAAGATATCCTCAACTACGTGAACAAATTTTAGCAAATCCAGAAGTTTTCGTTTCTATGTTATTAGAGGCAGTTGGTGATAATTTACAAGGAGTCATGGGAGAAGAATTTGAAGGTCTTGCCGGTGGTGAATTGGGAGGTAATGATGATGCAAGTGCAGCAGGACAAGAACAACACATTGTTCAATTATCTGAAGAAGATGAACAAGCGATTTCACGCTTGTGTGAATTAGGTTTTGAACGTAATCTTGTAATACAAGTTTACTTTGCATGTGATAAAAATGAAGAAATTGCTGCGAATATATTATTCAGTGAATATGCTGATTAATATGCCAAATAAATATATATAACTATTATAATCTTTAATTGTTACCATTTGTATTTTAATTCAATTTCAACAAACCAAGCATTGTTAAAAAACCAAAATCAGCTAAAGTAAAATATAGTAAAATATAGTTAAATATAATAAAATATAATCTAATAACTAATAACTTGTAATAATAAACTAGCCTCAAAGATTATCCAATCGAATGGACAATTTAATTAAATCCTATAAAATGCATGAACTATAGAAATTTATGAGCGCTGTATGTGTTTAAGTGATAGCTTTTTCTAATCATTTAGCTTATTAATATTGGTGGTAGTATTTCAGTTCAGTTCGGTTCAGTTCGGTTCAGTTCATTCCATTCCATTATAATTGAATTATAATTTAAATCGGCTTAACTATTAAGCTAGTGATACATCACTATCAGATTTTTGCATAGTATGCTTTTTACTCTCAGCTAAATTATATTTCTCTAAATTCTTTGGAGATAAAACTGAGCTGAATGATTTTTGAGGTTCCCTTAAATTCCAATTCAAGGTTCTACTAATACTGTCGATATATTGAGTTGGTGATGATTCATACGTTGGGAATGGGAATGGACTTGCTGCAACCATAATGTAATCACCTCTCTGAAGTTCAAGTTTATCCTTACCATCGAAGGCAGCCCAGGCAGTACCTCTTGATTTAGCAGGGACTTTAATTTGTAGCACCATAGTTTCTGGTAAAATGATTGGTCTAAAACTCAATGAGTTTGGACAGATAGGGGTAACAACCATAGCGTGGACATTTGGATAAACTAGTGAGCCACCAGCACTTAAGGAATAGGCAGTCGAGCCTGTTGGTGTAGCAATGATTAGACCATCAGCTTGAGCGACGGTGAATAAGGTACCATTACCATATAATTCTAAATTAGATAGAAATGGGCTTGAACCTCTATCAATTGTGACTTCATTCAAGACATTATTTGAATAGATGACTTTAACTCCTCTGATTTTTTTACCAGTGGCAGGATCAACCTTAGTTGGTAGTTTACGATATACTTTACATAATAATCTCATTCTTACATTTACAGGTAATTTATTTTGCAAAGTCACATCGATATCTTTCTTGAAATCAGCAAAGGTAAAAGTAGTCAAGAAACCTAACGAACCCAATGAAAATGATAGAACTGGAGGCACTCTATTCTGGAAAATACTCGAAACGAATAAAACGGTACCATCACCACCTAAAGTCAAAACCAAATCTATCACATGTGGGTTCTCCTCAATCCATTTCTGGTTCCAAAACTGAATCTTTTGACTTTTACACTTACTATCTTTATACAAAGCTTTAACATCTAGCTGTTCAGAATCTTCTAGAGTATCTTCTATGTATAAAGTAATTTCAGGATGTTTTATCAGGATCCATTCCACTAATTCTCTTGCTAAATAAAGTAAAGAATCATCACCAGTCTTTACTACGATTAAAATCTTGATCAAATCACCAAATGGTCTGACGTAACTGTTTTTTTGATTCAATTGCAAATTAGCAATACTTTTAGCCAATTCATCTAAATCATTACAAACCCTATCGTTAGTATCCCACTGAACTAGACTCATAATTGCGATATATATATTGTAGCTTTCAGTTGCACTCTTTATGTCGAATCAATGAGACAAACTGTAACAAATAGTCCAATGAACCTGACGTCAACAGTAACACAAGACAAATAACCTTAAATAAATCAAACAAAAATCGACGAATCCTTATCACATCACAATCACAAACTTCAATTACAATTTCATTTATATAAAACAATATAATCAATTCTACATAGTATTAAAATTATAAAATGAATTCAGGAGGATGAGGGAAGGGGGGGTGAAGGAACTTAACATCAAACCTGCACTAAGACTGGCCATAGAACCATCCATAATCACCAAATCAATAAACTTAATAAGACCAGAGAAAGAGAGAAAGAGGGAAAGAAAAGAGAGGAACAACCACCTCAAGGAATCAACTCCCTAACGTCTCTAGATTAAGTAAAAGTAAGAAAAAAGCTAAAGAGAAGAAGTAGATATGAACGATATATAAATTGAGAACTAAAACTACAGCCCCATACAACGATGCCACATTGACAACAAGCTCTCTCATTCTGCAAGAACAACCAACATATCCATCTACGATGTCTTGTCAAAATTAACTTTGATATATTGCTAACGAGAGAGACACGTTAGTTGAAAATGCCAAACCATGCATGCCTTGCAAGTAACAGAGTAATGAAATGCAAGACAAAAAGGTCACTTAACGCAACTCAACTTCACTATCAAGAAAGACAGAAAAAGACAGACAGACAGAAAAAGACAGACAGACAGTCTCCCCTATTGTAGCAATGTCTGTATGACCAGATCAAACCCAGACTACAACAATCGACCGTTGGCAGTTGAAAGCAAAGAACAGATATACATGGTGTTATATAAAAACGAAACTAAAACTAACAATGAATTTAAAACTAAAACTATAATTAAAATAAACTTGCACAAAGTGATTACTATTATTAACCGAATCCCAAATCCCAATCCCTGTTTGCTGAAACAAAACCAGCAAGCAATTTCTTTCTTGTCTGTCACCTCACTCGAACTAAATATCCTCCTTGACTGATATTTAAGTGAATTCGTCGTCATTCGTTGAATTTCAACTTGGAAACTTGAACGGTTCTAACAGTGACGTTAATTGATTTGATTTGATTTGATTTGACCTGGATTTAATTTGACTTGGCTTGACTTGGTTAATAAACTAAAAGAGATGAACGAACGGCGTGGTATTGGTTTCTTATTCTTCCAAACCAAACCATCTTGATCCAATTCGAATCGAATCGAATCCATTTGATTTAACTCGATTCGAAGAGTTAACTAGTTTCGTTTCTCTTACTACAATAAGAAGGGGTTTGAGGGTGAAGGGGGTTTTCTCAAGGAAAGTGAAGGTGTGTTCTTAAGAAACAGCTTCGAAAATGACAGACAGACACAATGAAAAGGGGTAAAGCAGAGAGATAGAGAGAGAGAGATATTCATAAATGTAGCGAACGACTAGAATTTAGTTGAGTTGAGTTGAGTTGGATTAAATCAAACTAAAAGAAAATAAAATTGGTTAAAGGAAATTACACTACCATTATTAGCATTGCTGAAGTTTTAATGCTCGAAATATAAAATTTATATTCTTCTTTTAATCATTTCTTGCCTTATATTGTTTGATCGATTCTACATTGCCAAGTGTTTGATTCAATTAATGGTAGTGATGCTCCTAAGCACCAGCCAATTTCTTTATCAGATATTTTTTGTGCAGTTTTTAAAGTTCTTAATAATGGTATATCATATCCTGTTTGTAACAATGTAACTTGGTATGATAAGTCCAAACAATAATATGGGTCTGAATTTAACTCTTCAATAACACCAGGGCTATTTTGGTACATTGCTTCCCAAGCTGTCTTACCTTGACATATATTTCTAGATAGATCTTTCAATTCTTGTAAGGTAAATGTTTCTGAAAAGCCTAATGATTGGGTTCTATCATAAAAAAATGAGAAAATATGCATATCGTTAGTCTCTTTAAATGTATGAACTAATGATGGTTGGTGCACTCCATTAAATGAACATGGTTTGATCTCACAGTTTAGTTTTTTCTTAAGAATATCTTCTGCTAATCGTCTGCATTGTGGTGCTGATGGAATTTCTGTACTATGAAAGTCGACTAAAAACACATCTCCTGTTGATATTTGAACTTTGACATCTAATAGTTCAGAACCTGGCGCTAGACAAGGTGACATTAAATTTAATTTTTTTTCTTTATCAATGCCAATGTCCTTGGAAATCGCTCTTTCAACAATCAACTTATTAATCTGTTCTCTAATTTGGTTTAATCCATATCCAAGATGTGAAAATTGATACAATACATATTTCTCTCCGCCAAACGTCAATTCATATTTATGTTCCCCTTCAACCATCTCTTCATTGATATTTAAATCTGGTTCAAATACAATTTGGGTTGACCCACCTCCTAAATCAAATATGGCACTTGTTGGATTTCTTACCTCTCCGTTACCAATATTACCTAAAAGATAATTTGTGGTGATCCAGGCAAATACTCCTTCTTCATCACCACCCATAATTGATATACCGTTATTTTGAACTATTGGAAATGGATATTTTTCAGTTAAACGTAATCTTATTGCATCTAATATATTTTGTGATTTTTCTTCACCTAGTAATCTTAACCCGGCAGTAGCCTTTACTGACACTGGCGTACATTTTTTAGCTGCATCAGGTATAACAGCCAGTGCTTTACCCAACAATGGGTCCAAAGACATGGCAGCACCTTCTGTGTCAGCGTCAAATGACGATAGGCCTGGTTTTAAAGCTTCAAATACTTCTTTGATTAAAACTGGAGGTTGAGAACAAATATCGAATTCATAAATATGAATACGAGAACCGGAAGATCCAGCATCGATCATAATAACAAACTGGTGTTCTTTCCCACACTTACCAACAGGAACAATTTCATTATTTAATATATTTGAAGTAATTTTTAATCCAGCAGTGCTGTCACCTTGGAAACCTTCAGAAGAAGAGGAAATCGAAGAGAGTTTATTATTAGACTTCAACTCATTTAAAGAAGAAGCATCGACACTTTCATCAATTGGAACAGAAGCAACTTGTTGAGATAAATCAGGTTTATTCAAAGTCGGATCAACTGCATTTGAAATTTTAACTCTTGATCCAAAAGAAATAAAACTTGAAATAAAGAATAATAAAATAATTGATGCAACAATAGCATACAATAACTTTGTACGCTTAAAACTAAATCTCATTAGACCAAAATCAATATTAATACTTAAATCAGAAATTTCAACTTTTATCTATATCAACTTCAAACTGTATTTATATATAAATATATATATATATATATATATACATATATATGAGGTAAATTAATTATATTTTGAAACCTATAAAAACCACTTAAATGAGATACCGATATTTCTAATAATCGTCCTATTCCATCTGATATACTTTTATATTAAACTGTTTTAACAATCCCTGATACATTCATCTCATCTCATCTCTTTGCTAAATTTCATATCCTTATTCTTAAATATGCCGTTTCTTAATAAGGAAAAATCTCGAAATGATATAAAAATCGATACATTTTGAGTAACCCTCTGAAAGTGATGAAATTGGTATGAGACAAATGTATCACACGTTGGCACTAGGTATTTAGGAGGATCAACTGGGTAGTTTTAGTGATATATATTTTATCTAATTATTTTTCAATCTAATTTGGAGTGTAGACTTAGCATTAAAATTGCGATGAGCTTTAGGTGAACAAATTTTGACTGAACAATAATACTTTATAGGATTAATAAGAGTATAGTTTAGAAGAGAAGGTATATTTGAATATATTTAAATTATTTTGAAATGAGTAGGAATGTGGATAAGGCAAATTCATTGCTTGTGAAGTATCAAGAAGCTCAAGCAGAAGAAAAAACTGGATATAAGGATTATTCAAGGTATAAAAGACCAACGAATGTTTCCAAGGTGCAGTCTTTACAAGAAGCTCTGGAATGGAGGAAACAGTTGATGCATGAATTCAAGGACAAATCCTCTAGGATGTATAATCCTTGGTTGAATGATTCGCAATTGATTGAATTAAATGATGAACTAAATGAATTACTTAGAGAAAAATCGAAATGGGACTGGCATATTTCTAATAGATTGGGCGACACTAAGCCCACGAGGAGCAAGAATGGAATAGTTGGAGGGAAATTAATCATGGGTAAAAGATATTTTGGTAGAGCTTTGGAACTACCGTCTGTCAAAGAAATGATAAAGAATCAAGATCAAGCTCTCAAAGAGAAGAAAGCAGATAACAATCTAGTGGATATGAAACTCATACCGAAGGATAAAAGATCATTATACTTTACAGGAACTACAAATGACAAAGCACAACAAAATGGTTGGAATAACTACATGGAGCAATTCACTGAAACAATGGAACATGAAATCGACAACGAAACCCTTCCATTCGATGATGACATACCGGTGCCATCTTTAGAAGATATGGAAAAATGGCTAGTTGCAAGAAGAAAACAAAAATTACTAGAACAAATAGAATTCGATTAGAATCCCTATTCTGTATCTCATCGTTGCCTATATGGACGTCGCCAGGATAGACATATAACTGTTCCTTTTTAAAGCAGTTTGGAAAGGATAAAAACAATGTTAAAAAGGTATGGCTTAAGATTAACAAGATAATGGCACCAACAGGGACATGTAAAATTTTGAAGTGTATGCGATTTGATTGCTTCTGATCACCTAGGATTACCTGGGTCAATAGTACATGTTAGTCACGTATGCGTTTTAGACAAACACTACGCTGCATTCATACTCACGTGATTAACAACCGTTAATGCTCGTACGCCTATCTAATTTAATATTGCAATCAATAATTTATTTAAATAGATCAAGATTATGTTAACTAACACACAACCTCTAAATATTTGTAATATCATAAATGAACCATTAGGATTAATGGGCAATCAATCAATATAGAGGGAATTCTGTCACATTTATGCTTAAATAATCTTACTAGTGCTTGATTTCCCACTTCAATTTTAAAGAATGTTTAAGATCAAGAGGTTACTTTTATTATTGGTAATTATTACCACTACAGTATTGTATAAAGGGTTTTCTAGAGTTAAGAATCATCAATCTCCAGTAGTTATTGTTGGATCTGGTTTAGCCGGGTTGACTACTGCATATCAACTGGTTAGTTCTCATAATATACCAGTCATAATCTTAGAGAAAAGTAATTCATTAGGTGGAAATTCCATTAAAGCTTCTAGTGGTATCAATGGGGCTAACACTTTTACTCAAAAGTCTGAAGACATTGATGATACTCCGGAATTATTTCTAAAAGATACCATCAAATCTGCTAAGGGTAGAGGTATAAATTCATTAATGAAAGTTTTAACTTCAGAATCAGCAGGAGCAATTGAATGGTTACGTAAGGAATTTGACCTTAAACTAGACTTGTTGGCACAACTTGGCGGCCACTCTGTTCCTAGAACACATAGATCATCAGGAAAATTACCTCCTGGATTCGAAATTGTTAGTGCATTGACCAAGAAATTGAAAGCTATTGCTGAATCAGACCCAAATAGGGTTAAATTTTTACTAAATAGTAAAGTCATTGATGTTGAAACAAGTTATTTTAAAGGTGTAACTGGGATAACATATCTAGATGATGGAAATAATAAACAAATAATTCCTACAGAGAATGTAGTCTTCTGTACTGGTGGATTTGGTTACTCTGATTCTTTGATTCAAAAATTTGCTCCACATTTAGCGCATTTACCAACCACTAATGGTGAACAAACTACAGGCGATGGCCAATTGATCTTATCTAAATTGGGTGGAGATTTGATTGACATGGGACAAATCCAAGTTCACCCAACAGGGTTTATAGATCCGGAAGACAGAAAGAATAATAAAAAGTTTTTAGCTGCAGAAGCTTTAAGAGGACTTGGTGGAATCTTGTTAAATCAAATTACGGGAAAAAGATTTGTAAATGAACTAGATACTAGAGATGAAGTCACGAAGGCTATCCAAAAGTATGGTCCAAGCAATGATAATAGAGCTATCATTGTGTTAAGCGAAAAAGTTTACGAAAACTACAAAAATAATATGAATTTCTATTTATCAAAGAAGCTATTAGTTAAGATGAAGGTTAAAGATTTAGTCAAACATTATGATCTACCAATTTCTGTTGGTGAAATGACTAGAGAACTTGTCAAATATTCTACCGCAAAGAAGGATGAGTTTGGACGTTCTCTTCGTATCAATACTTTTGGAGGCGATGTAACTGGAGAAACAGAAGTATATGTTGGTGAAATAACCCCAGTCATTCATTTCACCATGGGTGGTGCTAGAATTAATGAAAGGGCAGAGGTATTAAACTCTCGTGGCACTAGAACAGCAAGAGGTCTATATGCGGCGGGAGAAGTCTCTGGTGGGGTCCATGGTGCAAACAGACTAGGTGGTTCTAGTTTGTTAGAATGTGCTGTTTTTGGTAGAATCGCTGGGAATACTATAGCTCTAGGTAACTAATGACCAATATGATACTATTATATTTTCTACAAAGGGTAAGTATTGGGTATTTAAGAATTTACACTATATCATTCAATGGAATAATATAAAAGTATAACAGGAAACATAAGGATAATAGTGGGAGCAGGAAAGAATTGATCCAATATTTCAAGGTTCTTCATAGGGTTAATGAATTAAACAAACCGATATTAACTAGAATTTTACATTACTTACTGAGTAATATTTAAGTTATTCATGAAATGGGAATTTATTGTTACTAGGCAATTGCTTTTGGTTTAAAACATATCTTTGATTCGTTCCAACTGCTCTTGTTGCACATAGCTGAATCATCTTTCTACATCCTGCAAGTCTGTAATAGCTGTCTATTTTCTTAACAAGATATAGACAATCAATGAACTTTAGATCTACACTCTAGGTAGTCATTACATAGAGATTATATATGTTTAGTAGGTAGTATCTGTAGTACCTCATAATTAACTAATTTACACGGGGGAGGGTATCCATGTTGTTAATTTGACAAGTAGTTTTAGTATTGATCGGTGATATATTAATCAGTTGCTTTAACCTATAAATGGTTTGTTCTGATATCATTTAATACGTAATTAGATAGCCGCCAAGATATGTGTCATGGCTAGACCGTTGTTTTAGATTATCAAGGTTGTTATTAAAAGTGATTATTGTATATTATTCGATATATAAAGATAACACAGACACTTATTTAATTGTATATTTAGTTTACCATTTCAGATATCTACCATGAGACTCCCTTGAATAAATCCAGACATGCCTTTGTTCTAACAAATACCAAACTAACTCTACATTTAAAAAATAAGTAAATATTTACCAAAAGGTTAGCCAAATAAATACTTTAAATTGTGGTCTGCTGACTATTCAATTACCACTTTATAAAGAGGAAAATAAAATTTCCAACAATTGATATGGTTTCGTGGTCTAGTTGGTTATGGCATCTGCTTAACACGCAGAACGTCCCCAGTTCGATCCTGGGCGAAATCAAATTAATTTATTTTTGCTTTTTAAATTTAAATTTAAAGCACAAGTAATACTTAAAGGTTTAAAGAAAGTAGTATGATCGCAGTCTTAATTAATTATAAATGGAAACCAATCCTATATCATTATTATATTTTATAATAGAAGACCTAGTCATCTCAAGAGCAGGCACTAACAAAGTTTAAAGAAACATAGATTTTTTGTCTATTGAATTTTATTGTTGAGCCATTTTCTTGTACATTGGATTGCCTTCTAGCAGACAATATATCATTAATTTCAAACCCTTTAGCCTTAATTACTCAACACTTGGTTGCTTTTAAGGGTACATATTACTGACATAAACATGGCCTTGATCAATAGATTACAAACTAAGGCTAAAAAAATAAAGGCTCATTCGAATTTTTTAGTTAATTGAACATTTGTTCTATACAGGCAAAAGAAGAATTACTTTAATAAGACCTCACGACCCCTCATGCAATGATCCAAATACAACTCCTTTAAGGAAGGTGTTATTGCCTTTAAACTTCTTATGTTCTTCTTGAAGAATGCTTTGCCTCCATAGTTACGCCTATCTTTAAAATTTGCTTTGCCTCGAAGCGCTTGACTCAGGTACACCTCTTTTAACCTACAAGTTTTTACTTGTTCAATTTAAATATCTGAAACTCAGGATACTGTTATAGCGAATTAAAGTGGCCTTCATTGGGCAAGACACTCTTCAATAGCTTAGATCTCATGGCCTTAGTATCATTAACGAATATTTGAGGCTTTCAATTCATATATGGGGCGATTCACATATGGATGTATTGGATATATAAATGGCAGATTAATAGAACTCTGTAAGATAATAAGGAATTTTGGGAATTAAATTTCGAGATATCTAGAATTTTTTATTAGTTTCTACCAAAAGTAGATCTACATTTAGGAAGAACTCCATATATTACAGGTAAAGTTAATTGATTAATTTAAAAGACAATACCAAGAAAGGAAATAATTTCAGTTAATTGCGTTTACTTAAATATAATAAATCGAATAGGGTATGAACAACAGTTCTATTGAAGCTATAAGTCAAAGTCATAATGTGTTAATAAGATATAATTTTAACTCAATTGATATTCCTAGCTCGGAAGTGTCAGAAAAGAGAGGACATTCTCATTTCAGTTCAGGCTCACATGGCCACCCATACTATCACCCAGGTATCAGTTCTGGATCTAGTAGTACTAATAGCAACAATAACAATAATAATAATAATAATAATACTAGTAATCATAATAGTACTAGTAACAATAATAATGGCAATAACAATAATATAACCGATACAACAGGATCAACTCAAGGAGGAGATATAATTTATTATAATGGTGCAAATAGTCAAAATATCGTTCGTAAAAAAGTGTTGATCTATTTTCTAATGTTATTTGCCTTTTTATTCAATAGTAATTGATGAATTGGTTATTATCTATTCAAAAAATATTTTTGATTATTTTGACTGTTTGCAAGAAAGTCAATTGTTTAGTTCGTTAATGCTACTTTTTCATTTTAATAATTTTAATTATTGGACTGTTTCACAAATAAGAGTTGCACAACATTTATTATAGATGATGTTTATACCTGTCTTTTATTGTTTAGTCGAGAGAGGTAATACATTATCTGTTGGAAGTATTCGCAACAAAAAAACCAGGATATCAATAAGTTTCATGGCATTATTTCATTTTATTTGTGATTACGAGATTTCTACATCAAATGCACAAACTAACTGAACCATATCAAATGACACAATGGTTGTGGTGACGAATAAAGAATATAATATATTAAGTTAGGCTATATATATATTTATAAGTGTGAATATAAAAAATATGAAAAGTAAAAGAACTGGAGTCTTGTTATAAAAGATGAGGTTTGGAGGTATTTTTTTTTAAAAGGACACATAATCGGGTACTTCATTTGTCATCTCTTTATTAGGCATCTAAGTGTTATCGTTTTACTTAATGAATAAGTTGAATTTAGCATACTTAGTATTAACAAAAATGACCAACTTGGTCCCTCACAGATCCTTTGTTGATTGATACTTGCAAAAAAGAAAGCCCTGTAGGGGGCTCGAACCCCTAACCTTGTGATTAAGAGTCACACGCGCTACCGATTGCGCCAACAAGGCTTGTATTTGTTGAAATTTTTCAAAAGGAGTTAATAGGTAACCGTGATTATCTGGTATGTCCGGGTTATAGTTGATATCAAAATATTGAAATGGGATATTTTTCAGAATGGTAAGAGCTTGAAGCTATGATGAGAGTAGATATACCTTAGATAGGCATCTTGACCTATTACTGAGGTCAGTGAGTGGCAACTCGCTCTCCTTCTGGTAACAGAGTAGTCTATATATGTTGTAACCTAAATGTATGAATTCCATATATAGGTTTACAGATTATTCATATCACGTGATAAATGACATTTGTATTATTTGGCCTTTAATTATTATTTAATTGTATATTGAATTTGGTATACGTTAGAATGAAGGCTGGTAAGCGTTTATTCTATAGGATCTTAAGGTTGGAGATCTGTAAGTTAAAGTAAATATACTTGTTAATAATAATAAATTTCTATATTCTTTTATGTACAAAGTAAGATACTAAATAATATACAATAATATACAATGATCTCTTTAAATATCAATGTTAATAGCATGTAACAACATTCTTGTAGTGACACATATTTCTTCACCTTCAAGGTTCGTATGAAGTAACCTCGAAGTAGTCTCGAAATAATACAAATTTGTTGCCCTAATGACATAAATGCAAATATTAACAATATGACCTAAGAGATAGATTATAGATCTTTATGGTTCTAGAACATTCTTATGAGCTGAAAGATTATATTTATAACCCTAATCATTTTAATGAACAATGATTACTAATGATATGAAGAAATAGTCTGTCAATATTATTGACAGCAATTATTATGATAGATTCCAATAGCTCGATAATGATGATCTACTTGATCATCTGAGCAATTGATGATCATGTCATAGTGTAGAGAATCATGTTGTGGTTTTTCTACCGAATCGTTCATAGTAATAGATTCTTTATTTATTTCCAAGGACATTCTTAATAAGTTGATATTGATCCCGTGTATTAAAGTATATAATATACACATGGGAATATAATTAACATGACAAGTGTCAATTAAGATCTTGTCATTTCTTATATAAAGTGTTGGAAAAGTTTTAACGTCAGAAATAACACTTTCGTGTAAAGTAACATTTCTTTATCCTATATGAATAATGTCGTAATACGTATATATCACGTGTTACCTCATAATTCTGACAGATATTACTTTTACATCTGAACAGTAACAACATTCTTGTAGTGACACATATTTCTTCACCTTCAAGGTTCGTATGAAGTAACCTCGAAGTAGTCTCGAAATAATACATTGTCTCTGAGCTAAATTGCACTTAAAATGGAAAACTTAACCGGTTTTTTGTTACAGAATAAAATACATAATAAAAACAGTAGTATGAGCACTCTGTTGATGGTCTATTGTTCCTAAAACTCTGTATTCGTAACTGACCTGTAAATTGGTTTCCTTCCGAAGAACTCATCCTTGTTAGCTCAGTTGGTAGAGCGTTCGGCTTTTAAACAATTCCAAGTTTAAACCAAGGATACCGAAATGTCAGGGGTTCGAGCCCCCTATGAGGAGTTCTTCTCTTTTTTTTAAGATTTTAGATTTGACAAGTGTACCTACCACTATAGTTGCCCAAGGAAGAAGTATTCTAATAGGGACAAACTTTTTGTTGTGCTGGGGTTATTTCTCAATTGGATCTTACTACCAGTTCTATATTTTGTCTAAATCATCCATGTTGCACTTAGAATTTTTTTTTTGCAGTTAAATGCAATATATTTTTAAAACTTTTGCTGTCAGCTAGATCATTAACAACCGAGGTACAACTTCTAACTGTGTACTACTGGTGTCAGAATGGTTAGAACTTCAAGCTTTAATAAGAAGTAGGTACACGTTAAATATGCATGTTGACCTATTATCGAGGTCAGTAAGTGGTAACTCGCTGCTCCTCTTGTAACAGAATAGTCCATATAGCATAAATAATTTTATATATTGGAACTGAACATTTGTTCATCTTATTTGCGGAAGAAATTGTTCAGATGTATGATTAATATCTGATTTATTCAGTTTCGTGATTTTATACAAGATGATTTTGTTAGAGTATTTATATTTATTTTTCCGTAGTGTCTTACAAATGTACTAAATAAATATATATCAATATTTTAGACAGATTATTTAGATATTCCAAAATACCATTCCTTTTTATATGTTTAGATCCAATATCAGGATATTAGTATTATTAATTAATTAGAATAATTGATGATGTCCTTGCACTTCACTTCTTATGATACGATTTAGCAATTGCTAAGATGATCGAGAACGCCATTGACGAACGATCAATTGCAATCTATCATAATAATTACCATCCATGCCATTGACAGACCATTTCCAAATAATCTTTGTTTTGAATACACTTAGGACAATAAATAGCATTTATTGAGTCATCAGAATATTCCAGAACCTTATAGATCTATAATCTATCTCTTAAGTCATATCAGTAATCTTTGCATCAATGTTATTAGGACAATAAATATCATTTATGAGATGATGTTAATATTATGGGAACCTATAGATGTATTAAATGGTTACATCAAAACTATCATAAGCCAAGAAGCAAATTCATAAGTATCCGACTTGAACGGATGAAGGAAAGAGTTTAGGATGATGATATTAAAGTTCTAAAAATTAAAGGCACCGATAATGTCGCTGATGTACTAACAAAACCGACTACATCAAACGATTTTAAAAATTTAAAATCTGTGATGGATAATACTCTATCTTCTAAGACATTACTTCCATTGACAGAGAATTGGTAAGTAGGTTAATCTCATGTCACTAAGTTTACTAGGCTCGCTGGTACTCTGCTCATGAAGTCAAGTTAAAATGTCTTCGGAGATAGAGTGTTGTTCATAACAGACTTTAATTTTTCAAGATCGCTTGATGTAGCTGGTTTTTTTAATACATCAGAAACATTTATTGTAGAAAATTATGTTGTGGTTTTTCTACCGAATCGTTCATAGTAATAGATTCTTTATTTATTTCCAAGGACATTCTTAATAAGTTGATATTGATCCGGTGTATTAAAGTATATAATATACACAT